CCCTCGTTGATTTCTGATGGCACCGGCACTGATTCGACCACGGCCGAAGTGGTTTCGTCGTCATCGTCGTACGACTTTGTTGGGTGTGAGCAGACGGAGAACGTAGTTGATGTCGACGACTTCATGCAAGAGATTGATGCCCTCATGAAGTCCGATGACACACCTGTGGATTCGGCAATGATCTCGTGGCTGGAGCAGTAGTCGATGCAGCTTGTATGGAAAATGTTGTTTGTTCATGTATATCATAATACTGGAAGGAAAAGAAAATTCATGTTCATGTAAATATTGGCGACAATAAAGTTCAATTTTCATCCCATGTATTGTTGTTTCCTTCATACGTTGCTGTTTATATGAAATGGTGTAGCTAATGAACTCATAATTTGAGATATCACTGTCTCGTCCTCATGCATCAACATATCATAGTTGGTCACCGTCCTCAGGGAGAAACAGTCATGGCTGGGTTGACCATACATCAAAGTCAGACATTTGGATGATTGCTGTCACCAAAAAATGCTGGCTTATTTTTGTTGCCTCGTCATACAAAAATAAATATTGACTTCCTCTAACCATCATCCAGTAAATCAATTTTATGTGATCAATGATGTTGTTATTGTGGAGATTTAAAGGATACTGATGATTGATGCCCTGTAGCTGAACAGTGTATTTGATTGTTCATTGACATCACTTTAAACCATGAATGATCAAGAAAAAGAGAACAACAGAGATACTGCAACTGTATTGAAATAGATTTTGTGCACACCATTCCTCTCATAATCTTGCATATATTTAGCAACATAAGCACACCATCGCTAAATTGGCAATGACTACATAATACCAACAAATTGATATTTCAACAGCATAGAGATCATCAGTGAAGTTCAGTTAAAAAAAACTGGTATCTATTCTCTTAATTCGCACACGAACGATAGTCCGATTGCCTTCGTTAATGTTTCGATACAATAGATAGGTTTAGAAGTTTGAGCAAATCTGTACAGTGGATGCCACCATCAATGCCAATCTCCACAACACCAGTTGCACAGGTATGCAGATCCCTTGGAGCATCGCACCATCAGACATCCTCTCCGTGGGCAGCTCCAGCAATTGGGTTTCCTGCATCTAATTTGGCAGCAACAGTTGGTCGTGAAGGTGGTGGTGCTGGTGGTTGCGACAGCTTTGGCAGGGAGTTTGAGAGTTTGCCGGATCTTCTTGAGCCGGGTTGCAGTCGTGAGGTTCTCCATTTCCTGAATAAACTTGCATAGGTGACGGATGTAGTCTGGATATAACTCTAGGTTGCAATGACCTCCTCCTTTGATCCATAAGGGATCGTACGGTTCTTCCGCTAGTTTCCATAAACCATGTCCATGAAGCCAATTCACTACATCATCTTCGGTACCCTACAAGAAGACATCCAACTGTTAAAACAAAACAGAATCTACTGGGAATATTTATAATGATCATTCTGACACACACATTTAACTTGTAAATAAGAGGTATCAGTTCACACTAAATACAAGGAATTATTAACAATCTACAACACAAATTGACAACTGGTACATATTGGAACATAAAACAAAGTCACTAATAATAACAGGCTTAAATAGAATGGAGAAGACACAGTTACAAGCTCGATGATTACTAATTAACATTGATCGAGAGATCTATCAGGATGTCTTAATGTGTCACGGCAGTTATCTTTGAAAATATCGACCTTGGTTCCAAAATGAATGTCTTAATTACCGCCATTGAATGGCTACTTCAGTCTATGTAAATCCTGACGATTGGATATCTGATTTGTGCAAATCAGTCAAGAACACAGTTCATGGTGCAAACATATTGATTTTGCCCCATAAACACCACAATCAATAAACACTAACTTCTCTCTAAGATTAACTCTGTAAAGTGACAATCCCACTACTGAGGTAGCCTCCCTGTGTACTATGTGTTCTCTAAAGTCATAACTTAAGTCTCTAAGCAGCAGCACCATACGTTTTGAATAAATAATATTGAAGGAGTTCCAATAAAAAGTTTCTTTCCATCAAAATCTACAGTGTATGTTTTGGTGTGTGCAATGCAGAAGTTAAGTAGCACTTTAAATTCATCAAAGTGCGTGAAGAAATTGACGATATATTCCAAACTAAACACTGAATACAAAAAATTTTGCATAGCAGCTGACGAGTATCAATAAATTTAAGAAACTAATGGACGGTTCAATGTTTAGTTTATAGAAAACATTTTTTTTTATAACTTCTAGTATAGAAAATAAGGCCAATTTTGAAGTTCAAAAGTTCATATACAATGGAAAAACATCAACCAAAGTCAATCTACATCAGCATTGTTAAGGATTTAAATGCTACTATATCACAAAGAAAGCTTTTAAATTCTTCTCAACAGAAAGAATCAAGCCACCGGTTGTTTGCAGGACAAAAGGTGATGAATTTAAGACAAAGCACTTACATGAATTACAAAAACTGGGCACTTGACCTTTTTAATTTTGTCAATGTTCTGCATCAAAAGGCAGACCAATTAGTAGCTAAAATCATTGACCAATCTAAGAGTACGAGTAAAAAGATTGTGGTCAAAGCAAGAGGCACACTTTATAAATGTCAAAGCAGAACGAGAATTTGACATGGCAAACCACACGAAGTCCTGACAGTATAGCACTGTGAAGTACTACGCCTCGCAGTCTCGGCAAGTGAGCTGCCAAATGCAATGTGGGACCGCTACCGACAGATTGGCCATACAAGATCAAATCTTCCTGACCGACTCCATATTCTGTCTGCAGACACTGGTACACTGCCTCGATGTCTGCATATGTGTTGTATTCGCTTGGCTAAACACCATAAAGAAATGCATGGTAGATTAATTCAACTGCTGTGGAAACCTATAAAGTTAGACAGTGAAAGGAAACACAAGATCACAAAAATTGAAATGAGTCCTTGGAAATCCAATGAACAACAAAATACTAAAAATACTAACAAAACTTAGCAGAAATGTCTCAATGTCTCTCCCAAATCTAGATCACATAGTAACAAAAACACTTACAACAATGTTTAACATAGACTGGTTTTGATTGAGAGTCCAACTACCACCCCAAACCCCAACCCACCACCCCACTCCCCCTCGTCCAAAAACCCCCCACCCAAAAAATTTAGATCACCCTCAGCAAACTATTTATCTCAAGAAAATAGCCTACCTTACCAGTAGATGCTCCATATCCTGAATAGTCATATCTGCATGTTAGAAGAAAGCAAACACCATTATATAAGACTTCTAAAGCATCGAAAACACAAAGAATAAGTCAATAAACAAGTGAAAAACATGTTAAACAAGGATGGATAAATGAATCAAAGAAGTTCAGCTTCCTATGCTTTGAAAGAAAATTTTGGAGGACTCAAAACAAGCATAATATTGAACACATTCCATAAAAAATCTTCAAATTGTTTATAAACATTCAACTTTTCTTGAGTTTTGCTATTGATATGTTGTGATATATTCATATACTTCTTCACAGATACTTGAATACTGCTAATCATCAAATAATTACATAAACATTATGATAAACACCTTTGTCACCTTCCAGCCTGATATAAACCGATATAATGATTTGACGTAGAACACAAACAAAATTAAGAAATTACTACTATAAAGGATTCTAGTAAACTAACCTTATAAGGGAGGATGAGGAAAATCAACTCCTTATAGTGGAGAAAACATTTACAATACTTGAAGATATTGCCATATTTTTATGATTCCATAGGCTTAGAGGAGGTCATCATTTATACTAGTACTAGAAAAGTAACTAACTAACAATGTGGGATAATTGAAAGAAACATAAAAATTAATAATGTGGGATAAATAAAGTGATAAGTGGGCAGCTTTAGGCTCTTTGAAAATAGTCTCCTTCTACTTGTTCCGCATTAATCCCCTCCACCTGAGAAAAAACTCGTCCTTGTGTTTATATCTAAATACAATGGATTCTCATTTGGAAAGTAGTCATATAAGTCTGCAACATTGAAGGTCTTTGAGATACCCCAATCATCTGGCAAATCAATCACATAAGCATTGTTATTAATTTTCTTTAAGACTTTATAGGGACCATACTTCTTCAACTTTAATTTGTTATGAGTGCCTATGGGAAATCTCTCTTTTCACAAGTACACCATAACCATATCCCCTTCCTTGAACACCTTCTCTCTCCTATGCTTATCAGTTGCTTCCTTGTACTTGGCATTAGTAGCTTCCAACTTCTTCACATCAGCTTGGGATGATTGTACTTGCTCAGCCATGTTGTTAGCTGCTACACTCATTCCAGGAGTCTTTAGTAGGCGAACTAAATTCAGAGCATACTTCGACACTTTCTTGTAAACAATAGAAAACGGTGACACTACAATAGAACTATGAATTACACTGTTATATGCAAATTTAGCTTGTGCAAGTGTGAAATCTCATTGTCTTGATTTGTCACCACAAATACAACGAATCAAGTTTCCAAAAGTTCTATTAGTTACCTCTGTTTGACCATTAGTTTGTAGGTGAGTTATGCTACTAAACTGCAAACTTGCGTTAAATCAACTCCCCTCTGAGTTTTGGTAATCCCAATACAAAATCCATGTATAAATCCTCCCAAACGTCTTCTGGAACTGGTAGTGGCATATATAAACCAATGTTCTGCCATTGGCCCTTTGCAGTTTGACAAGTTGGACTTTTTTTTACAAAATTGCCATCATCCCTTTTTAACTGGGGCCAAAAGTACCTCTCCTCGATGCTTGCTATCGTTTTGTCTTGCCCGAAATGTCCGTTGAGTCCTCTGTGTAAATCTTGAATAATTTTTTCTCATAAGGGCATCCTCGGAATGCATAGCTTATTACCTTTGAATAAGTAACCATCATGGTTATAATTGGAAAAACCAAATGATATAACTAACCATTCATATAAGTCTCCTCTTGTCTTGAATGTCGTCTTTCATTCGTCTCCGGGCCATATGCAAATTTGATGATATCCGCTACATAGATCAATCTTTGAGAATATCTTGGAGCCTTGTAGTTGATTCAACATATCTTTTAATCGAGATATAGGAAACCGATACCTGACCGTGATTTGGTTGATGACTCTACTATCCATGCACATCCTCCAGCTTCTATCTTTCAAGAGTGATCTCTTTGAATTCTTCCAATATCAATCTTAGTTCGTTTGGAATCTTTGCTTCAGGTGGCTCTTCTCCTTTCATAATAATAGCATAGCATACTCTTGTTTCTTTAGAATTGACAATGAATTCCTGCACAGAGTTAGAATTGGATAAGAAAGACTTCCCCTCCACTTTAGAAGTGTTAGATTCATCTCCCTTTCTATTAGTCGGTAGAATAGCAATCTTCTTCCCGTTCCACCAGAATACATAGACATTCTTCCTTCCAAAGTGGGTTGCATTCACATCATATTGCCATAGCCTTCCAAGTAGCACATGGCACGCATCCATATCAACTACCTCACATATAACTTCCTCCTTGTAGCTTTTTCCAATTAAGAGAGTTTTACATATCTTAGTTACAGTGACAGTTGGGCCTTCTTTAATCCACCCTAGTTTGTATGGTGTTAGATGAGCTTCCGTCTGTAATTTTAAGTGCCTCACCAGTGATTTAGATATAATGTTGTCACAGCTTCCACCGTCTATGATCAATGCATACTTTGTTTTTAACATTACATTGAGAATGAAAGATTTTCTTATACTGAGATGGATCTTCTTGCCTTGGGTGAGTAATAATCTTTTTACAACACATGCGACGTGTTCTCCTTCTTCCTCTACTATTTCAGCATTGTCAATATCATTAATCGTATCATTTTGGGCATCTCCTTCTTCTTCAAAGTCATCTTTGTGATCTGTAAGGTTGACAGTCTTATGAGCACGACAATCGTTGGAATGATGACCAGACTCCCCACATTTGAAACATTTCCCAACCAGGGGTCGAGCATATGGATTGTTTGTGGTAGTCGAGATATGCTTAGCTTGCTTTGTTGCTCCTCTGATATTTGTGCCTTGATTTGCAGGTTGTATTGACTCGGTCACAACTTGCTTCTCTTTGTTAAGACCAGGTTGTGTTGTTGGAGTAGAGCATTGTCGGGTAGCAATTGGAGGTCGAGTCAACAACATTTCTGCCTTTAATGCCATATTGTGAGCTTTATCTATTATCCATATCGGAGTTTAAGGCATTCTATCTTTAATTGCATATTTCAATTCGTTGACGTACCTTGTTGTCGGTTGGTCTTCTAACTCTGATAAGTTACATCTGGCTGAAAGGCGTAAGAATTCATTAGTATACTCAATTACAGATCGAGTGCCTAGGATGTAGTTTTGGTATTGTTGGAACAATAGTTGTTCATAGTCTGGGGGTAGGAATCTTCCTTCAAGAAGTTGCTTCATCTTTCGCCATGTCTGTACTGGTGTCTTTCCTTGTCTTCTTTTGTTATTCTGTAATGTATCCCACCAAACTGTTGCACCTCCTTTCAACTTGTATGCAACAAGCTTAACTTGTTTGTGATCAGGAACATCCATCACCTCGAAGAAGTTCTCTACGTCATAATTCCAATCAAGAAAAGCTTCAATACTGAGGTGGCCATTAAAATTGGGGAGGTCTACTCTGAGGCAATAATCCTCAAATAACCTATTTCGTCTAGATGGTGCTTGATGTCTTATGTATTTTTCACTGTCATCTTCTAAGTCATCATCATATACTGTTGGTTGTTGTGGGTGAATAGTACCATGTCAATTGAAGTGTCGAGGTTGAGCTGCACCTGCACCTCTTTTTTGGTTGGTTCTATGACAGTCCATAATTCCTTCTTCTTCTCCTTCATTTTACTCATCTTCATAGGCTGGTTGCCTACGTTGGATTGCAGGCTTGTGTTGATGACTAGACTGGCGATTAGCATCAACTCCGACACGATTAATCCTACCATCACGAACTTTATTAGTGCTTCAGCCCAAGTTAGTGAGCATGTCGCGAATCTCTCGGAGTTCCTAGGTCATCCTAGCTTATTGTACTTCTAGCATCACCCATAAGGCTAGCACTCCTCGATCATTGTTATTGGGGTTGTTGTCATTGCCTTCATCACGAATGTCGTCACTACCAAAATTGCCACTGCCATCACCGATAACACCGTCGTAGTTGTCGCATTATTGCCACCAAACCTCATATTGATGGGTAATAGGATTGTACTTAGCAAATTAAGTTTTTGATATACAAGATCCACTATAAGTGGCGAGTGTAGAGCATACTTCTTAATTTCCTAACCACAAACCTATTATGCTAACACCAAGAGCAAGACTATAATACCAACTAGTGTAGAAAGGAAACAAAATTAAGAAATTACTATTAGAAAGGATTATAGTAAATTGACCTTATAAGGGAGGACGAAGGAAATTAACTCCTTATGATGGAGAAAACCTTTACAATACTTGAAGATATTTTTAGATGATTCCATAGGCTTAGAGGAGACCTTTATTTATGCTAATCTAGGCTTTGAAAACTAGCTAATTAACAATATAGGATAATTGAAAGAAACATGAAAATGAACAATGTGAGATAAATAAAGTGATAAGTGAGCAGTTTTAGGCTCTTTGAAAATAATCTCCTTCTGCTTGTTCAGCATTATTATTGACCTAATAATACAACAATGCTTGATACCAAATTATCGATAGTAGGTCCATCTAGCCCTATAAATCATAATAACATTGCCCCATTTCCATGATACTAATATTCAAGGTCTTCAATTTCGAATAATACCGCCCGTACCGGGCGATACGAACCGGTCCACCAATAGACCGGTATACGGACCGCCTGCTACCGGGCGGTATTGTCGATTGGGCTGTTTTCGCCTGCTACCGAGAGGAAGAAAGAAGAGGGGTGATCGAGGGAGAAGAAAGAAGAGGGAGAAGGGGAAGAAAGAAAAAGGAGAAGAAGAGGAGTACCTGCACCGGTCTCCCTCCTCGTCTGTCGACGACTTCTCATTCGTGCGGGGAGAAGAATCTCGGCGTCGCAAGGAGAAGAGGCGACGTCACGGCGAAAACAGTATATTTTTCACTTATGTGTGTGTGTGTGTGTGTGTGTGTGTGTATATATATATATATAAAGGCGACGTCGCCTCGCATGGGGAGAAGAGAGGCGACGTCGAAGATTTTTTTTTACTTTTATATATAAATAAATAATATATATATATATATTAATATATATATTTATAAGTGACGTCGCCTCGGCAACGTCGCCTTGCGTGGGAGAAGAGAGGCGACATCACCTCGTTTTTTCTACGACATCACCGAAAAAGAA